CATGTCTGTTAGTACTCCTATCTTGCAGATGGAGAGGGAGGGCCGTAGAGAGAGGCAAGGACATGTTTCAGTCACAACATGAGTAGCTCACAGAGCCTGAACTGGAACCCATGGCTGCTCACTTCCATCAGAGCTCGATGAGAAAAGTCAAGAATATGCAGCTACTTTTCTTGCCAACCCCCACCCCCCCCTCCACTTATGTGGAGAACACAGTGCTAAGATGAGCTAATTCTCTAGATACGTAAAAGAGCTGCTTGTTGAACTTTTGACTTTTTGGCAAGTTGTGCTCATTTCTTAGCCTCGGCAATGCCTTGACACTTCTTCTGCTTTAACTTTTTATCTTTCAAGGCATTTTACTCTTAGCATTTTTGAATAGCGGGCATTGTTTTCATCCTTCTCACATCTCCAAAAATATGTGTTTTATGTTCCCATTAGTCCATCCACATACTTACTTAACATCAGAATATTGGTTTGGATACCTGCAGTGCATGTACGTTGAGGGTGGGGTGATTTAGCCCGAGGAAAGTCCAGATGGAACTTAATCTCAAATATTTTGAGACATGTAATATTACTTTAAGTCCTCTCATTTCACATATGAAACATGCTTTTCTTCCCCTTTGTACACCAAGTTAGTTAATTGAATAGTCCATGACTTAAGAAATATCATACTTCCTTGGGAGGCATAAGGACCTAGACAAGCAGCAGGTCTTGGTCTTAAGTTATTGCGTTTACCCCTGGAACCTTGTGGTGGGTAGGTGTGAAAATGGGCAATGGAGGAGAGGGAGTCAAAAGCACACAAGCCCCAAATGCATTTCCAGTGGATGGGATGATGATCCTGAGTAACTCTGCCTTACAATGTGTCCACAGTTGTTGAGCAGAGGGAAATTCTGGAAAAATCCTTTGCACCTCCTCCTATAGTCTTCAACCATCTCAGGAAACAGACTGCTTTGGTCATCATGTTCCTTCTAGGAGCAAGGTGACTTGGTTAGAAGACATTTTCCTCAGATTTCTCCCCCTAGAGATTTTGAGGGTTAAGTCCCATGGTGCCCTTCTAGCCAATAAGGAACCACTTCTGATTTTTTGGTGGGGAGGGAGGAAAGACAATTGTTTCTGCATTCTGGGTCCATAAATCCAATTTTACTTTGATTGAAACTGTGTTTCTCTAAGGTATCAATGTTTACATTGTAAGACAAATGACATTTTGACCCTACATGGTATATTTCTATTCAAAGGATTTCAGAATCTGTTTATTCGTCAATTAGTAAGGCAACATGTATTGACTGCAAAGTTATTAGCAACACTGAATCTATTATTTTTACAGAAAGATGATGAACTTATTTTTCCCAGGATTGAAGTATATTAATTGCATCAAGATATATTCCCAGTTACCATATCAGGACATCAAAGGAAAGCAGTTTCCTTAAATCATTACTCCCCACCTCTTTTACTTCACTGACCAATCACAGAGGTTTGGATCCTAAATTTAACTTTGAATGTTTGCTGCCAGTTCCAAAGAATTTGCTAAATAGATTTCGAATGTTCCCCCCTTTGTAGGCTTGAGAATGAAGAATTAAAAGAAGAGTGATGGTTACCATTATAGTAAAAACTTGGCACAAAATAAAAAAGGGCTTTTTTGTTCTCTTTTTCCAGGTGCTCACCTAAAGCAATAAATGTGTGGGTGATTAATCTTGAGTTTTTCGAGCAATCCTGAGTTAAATGGCATGAACAATGTGCTTTTTAAAAAGATCACTGTAAACATTTATTTCAATTCAAGAAACCTAGGAGATTCAAAAGAAACATGACCTAGAGGCTGTCTCTCCCTGGTCATCTGTGACCACTACATTGCCTGGCCATACTTTTCTCATTCATTCCATCTCTTTCACCTTTTTTTTTCCACTTAGCCCAGCACGAAGCTTTCTATCAACTTCTGTGAACTTTCACTTGGCCCAACACAAAGCTCTCTATGAACTTCTCTTTGCTGGCATCTCTGAGTCTCTATCCTTTTTCTTTTCTTTTTTGCGACGGAGTTTCGCTCTTGTTCTCTACTAAAAACACACACACAAAATTTTCCTTTGTCTTTTCTACCTATACTCTCTGCCTAGGTGTAGTACTTTGGTGGCCCACAAAAGGATTTATTCATGTCCTAATTCCTGGAACCTGTGAGTGTTATCTTCTCTGGGAAAGAGGCCTTTGCAGATGTAATTAATTAAGGAACTTGAGCCAGAGAGAGAGCCTAGATTATCCAGGTGGGTTCCATTCTTATAAGAGACACATAGGAAAGATATGATAGAAGAGGAGGAGGCAATGTGACCACAGAGGTGGAGCTTGGAGTGATGTGGCCACAAGTCAGGGATTGCTGACAGCCACCAGAAGTGGGAAGAAATAAGTGCATTTCCCCCTAGTCTCAGCCTTGCTGACACCTTGATTTTGGATTTCCGGACTCCAGAACTGTGAATGAAAAAAGTTTCTGTTGTTTTTAGCTGCTAGTTTGTTCTCATTTGTTATTTTCCATCCTGGTGGAAAACAAACAGATCTAAAAGATATTCAACATCATTCGCCATTAGAGAAATACAAATTAAAATAATGACAATATCACTACATACATATCAGAATTGCTAAAGTAAAAAATAGCGACAACACCAAATACTGGTAAGAATATGGGGAAACTAGATCATATTGCAGGCAATGTAAAATTATAAAATGGGAAAATTATGAATTGAATGCAAAATTGTAAAATTTACCTAATATTCACCTTAATCCTGCCACGGGAAACTATTAGGTAAATTAATCTTTCATCTTCAAATTCCATCTCTAGGAGGCTCATTAATTTAAATCTCCATCACGCCAGTTAGAATGGCGATCATTAAAAAATCTGGAGACAACAGATGCTGGAGAGGATGTGGAAAAATAGGAACACTTTTACACTGCTGGTGGGAGTGTAAATTAGTTCAACCATTGTGGAAGACTGCGGCGATTCCTCGAGGACCTAAAATAGAAATTCCATTTGACCTAGCAATCCCATTACTGGGTATATATCCAAAGGACTATAAATCGTTCTACTATAAGGACACATGCACACGAATGTTCACTGCAGCACTGTTTACAATAGCAAAGACCTGGAATCAACCCAAATGCCCATCAATGATAGACTGGACAGGGAAAATGTGGCACATATACACCATGGAGTACTATGCAGCAATAAAAAACGATGAGTTCATGTCCTTTGTAGGGACATGGATGATCCTGGAGAACATCATTCTCAGCAAACTGACACCAGAACAGAAAATGAAATACCGCATGTTCTCACTCATAGGTGGGTGTTGAACAATGAGAACACATGGACACAGGGAGGGGAGCACTACACATTGGGGTCTGTTGTGGGGAATAGTGGAGGGACAGCGGGGGTGGGGAGTTGGGGAGAGATAGCATAGGGAGAAATGCCAGATATAGGTGAAGGGGAGGAAGGCAGCAAATCACACTGCCAAGTGTGTACCTATGCAACTATCTTGCATGTTCTTCACATGTATCCCAAAATCTAAAATGCAATAAAAAAAAATCTCCAATCCTGACTTCCCAGAGCACCATACTCAGACATCTAACTGCCTGCCTATTGGACATCTCCATTTGAGTATCTAATAGGTATCTCAACTTAATATGACTAAGAGAATATTTTTTATTTCTAACCCCTATGCTCACAAATCTCCTTGCAAGTCTTCCCCATCAGTAAATGACATTAACATCTCAGGCTTAGGGATTAGGCCCAAGTACTTCATGGCTCTAGTAGAGAGCCTAAGCAGCATGTTTGATTCTTTTCTTTCTCTTACCCCCTGCACCTAGTTCCTAGATGAATCCTCTTGGCTACACCTTAGTTCACCACCTCTGATTTGGGCTGTTACAGTTGCCTTCTAACTGCCTCCCTGCCTTCACTCTTATCTTTCTCCACAGAAGCTAGCATAAAACTCGGATCTTATCACTCTATGCCTAAGATGTTCTAATAGCTTCCTATCACCCCTAATAATATCCAAATTTCTTACCTTTGCCTGCAATGGTGGTTCTCAACTAGGGGCTATTTTACCCCCTAGGGACATGTGGCAATGTCTTCTGAAGACAATTTTGTTCATCCCTAGGGAGAACCTACTGGCATCTAGTGAATAGAGCCCAGGAATGCTGTTGAATCATCTTATACTGCACAGAATATTCCCCCACAACAGAGAATGAGATGTCACTAGTGCCGAAGACGAGAAACCCCAGCGTGGGACCCCACATGAACCGAGCTCTGCCTTGTTCTGCTGCCTTATCTCCTGCTTTTTCCCTCATTCACCACTAACCAGACATGCTGGCTTTTATTTTATTCTTCAGACATGCTAAACTTGCCCACCTCTCAAAGCCTCATGCTCTCCCTTTGGGTTGAAATGCACTTTTCTTAAATCTTTGCATCCCTGTGTCTTCATTACTCAGGTGTCAGTTCAAATAGTATCTCCTAAAAGAGGCATTGTCCAATTACCTCTACTAGAGCAGCCCCTACCATCCTATCCCTGTGGCACTAATACATTTGTTTATTTTTTCCTCCTATGTAGCTCTTATTGGTAATTGAATATATCTTATTTTTTGTGTGTGTTTATTGTTAGCATTTTCTCTCAAAATTCCTAAAGCTCTCTAAGGTCTTTCATGTTCTCTGCTGCCTGACTACATCTAGACTACTACCTGGCCTAGAGTAAGAGTTCAATACATATTTGTCAAATCACTGACACACAAATGTAAAACAGTAGAAGATAACTAAGTATTCCTAAAATGTTTGGTGCCAAGAGTGATGCAGTGTATCACCAAGAAGGCAGGGTTTTTTTTTTTTTTTTTTTTGTAGCCCTTGTCAGTTTCCAGTATATAGCTCTTTAGTGGATGTTACCTCGGTTTAAATCTTGACTCTACTGAGAAAATGAGGCTTTGGAATATTCAGCCCATCTTGTTGGTGGGAAAGGTGAAATTTTTATCTTTGAACTTACTGCTCTGAAGACACCCATACAGAGCAAGCACCCTGTGTTCCCTTTTGTTCCCTTTCATCAGGCAGTAAATGGCTGGAAACCGATTGTTCATGTGGTTAGGCTTTGAAGCATCTGCACAGCAGCAATGGATGAATCCCTGAGAGCAGATGAGCTCACTGAGGGACTGCTTTTTGAAGACGAGCTGTCAAAGGAAATAGAGAAAAATGATTAGAAAAGTAATAGGAAAACAAAATGAAAATTAAGTCTCTGAAGCCCCAAATCCTGGAGTGATAGAAAATAGCCAATTTATAAAGGAAGTCTTGTTAATGCATCTTTGACATATTATGTTTTTTTACTAGTGGCAGATGTTTCTTTCATTACTCAGTGAATAGCTAAAAATGTTCCTGCAAAGCAAAATATAAACTTGATGACAACAGGTACCTACAGCGAAGGCAAAGTTGGGAGTGCTTGGAATAATATAATCATAATTAAATTATTCAGTTCTTACTTTCTAAAGACATTAACCCTGCTAGGACATTTTCCTAATTATAAAGGGTTTTAGAATAGTCCTAAAATCCTTAATTTTTCTAGTATTTTTTTATTAGGAGAACTTTATTTTTAGTAGCTCCAAAGTGTTAGAAATAGTGATCATTTTTGTTCCCTTTCATCCTGTGTTGAGTGATTTAGAAATCATCTAGGTAGACTGGCAAAACCAAGAACTGGGAAAAGCTTTCATCTGCCCAAGTCCAATCCAGTCCTGTTTCCATGTTTGGAAATGGTTCCTTGAGCTATCCACATTTTGTTGGCAGGTCATATTTTTGGAGAACGGCAGATGCTTTTCTCCTTACCACCCGTTAGCCATAATCCTGGCCTTGGGGAATGCCAACTGTCTATAATGTTCAGAATCTGAGGGCAAGTAAGCTGAAGACAAGGTTGAATTGTGGGTGCAGCCATGATATAAGAACTGTACCGTAGCCACACATTAAGCTTGCCTGGTGGTAGTATATTTTGCCCCATAATATGAAGAGAGAAGGGAAGGAGAGATTGTTTTTCAAAATGATACAGAGAATAAGAGCTAAACATACCTGAGAGTGAACTCAATTTGTATTACATTTTATTCTAAGAAAAAAGCACTTCTACAATACCTTTAGTGAGAGCAAATTTTTGTGCCCAAGGTCAGATACTTTCCACAAAGCATCCAAGGCAAATGTATATCCTATTAGATCATTACAGTGAGGATACAGACTAGTAGTCTCTGTCCTACTGAAATGTGTTTTCATCTGGGAAAAATAAACTTTAATCATATTTGTAATTTCAAAGGTGGGTTAATTTAATTTAATGGCATATTCATATGGGCCACCAGAAGAAATCATTTTACCTGACTTACCGATCTATATTGTTAGTAATTAATTGCTACTTTAGTACTGAATAAATCAGAAATAATAAGAAAAGCTTATGACATTTGCATTTTTTATGTATTTAGACTGGACTGAAAAACTTATTTTTAAGTCTTGCATCTCTAAATTTTATTAGAAGAAAGAGTCTTGTGATGTTGCCCAGGCTTGCTGGGAACTCCTTGGTATTCCAAGTAGCTGAGACTACAGGTGTGTGCCACCTTGCCCAGCTCACAGCTTTACATTTTTTTAAATCAGATTTTATTTTAGTTGTTTCTTTTACCAATTTATCAAATTTGCAGGGAAATGAAGATAAACTGATTTTTAAAAATTAGTGTTAGTACATACTGTTATAATTTATTTCCATAATCTGTAAAACTTCTATTGCAGAGGTACAACCTCAGATCCTCTGACCAAACAATTTGCATATAGCTTTTTGCATAAAGGCCTAGGAGACTTATTACTCAATTTAACCATTGCCTCTAGGCAAACTCATAGTAGCATGGAGGCCATAGCTGTCCTGGATACATTCTGTCCTTGAAATGCAATCTGTCAATCAGTCAGTCAATCAACCTCCTAATCAAATACTGGCCAGGTGTTGCATGGCTCTCACTGAGATGAGATTGCATCCTATTAGGATGTACATGGGTTTTGCATGAGGGGGACCACTCATCAAGATTGTCCACCAAGCGTTTCACTCCATTTAACCTAATTCTAGCATTAGGAAATTTTGGAGGATAAAGATAAATGGGAGATTTTTCAAACGAGAGATATGGCTGTGCATGGTGGTTTTCGTCTGCAATCCCAGCACTTTGGGAGGTTGAGGCCGGCAGATTACTTGAGTTTAGGAGTTTGAGACCAGTCTGGGCTACAGGGAAAACCCTGTCTCTACAAATAAACATGAACATTAGTCAGGCATGGTGGCATGTGCCTGTGGTCCCAGCTACTTGGGAGGCTGAGGTGGAAGGTTTGCTTAAACCTGGGAGGTAGAGGCTGCAGTGAGCTAAGATTGCACCACTGCACTCCAGCCTGGGTGACAGAGTGAGAGCCTGTCTCAGAAAAACAAAACATAAAAACAATAAAAAATGAGAGATATGGAAAAAATGTTATCTGAGAAAACCACCAGGTTTTATTTATTAGGATGCCATTCTAATTCTCTCTCCCTCTGCACGTCAATCGATATTTCCATCTCTCTCTCTCTCTCTCTCTCTCTCTCTCTCTCTCTCTCTCTCTCTCTCTCTCTCTCTTTCCCTCCCACTCTTTTATTTGATGTTTTTTTTCTCATTAGTCTTAGGTAGTTTCCAAGGAAAAAGGTTTACGGTAAAGCCATTCATTTATTTAGTTAGTAAATAGTAACTACTGTCTGTTAGACACTGTGCTGGAGATTAGATGCTCCTACAAACAAGAAAACCCCCGCTATCAAGAAACTCAGTCCAAGGGACTGAAAGAAAGACAAGAGAATTAACCATTATGTAGAATGCATAGTATGTCCCAGGTGTTAGCTGGGACCTCTTGGCCCCTTGAGATCTGACTGAAATCAGCACAAAACCTCCATTTCATGTCCTTTTGAAGCCCCAAGACTGCTTCCAAGATTTCTGTTGCATTTGCAGTCAGCTCTGCTCTGATTTCCTGCTTTCCTCTACTGTGCTGCTTGTAGCTATTCTTTTATCTCTGTCCTGGCATAAACCCAAGCTTGGGAAACAACTCTTTCTCATCTATTCTCTCTCCCCTACACCACACACAAAGCAGTCATAAAAACCAGGCTGATAATGTATTGCAAAAACTTGAACTGAGAGTTTTTGAGTCACAGGAGAGCACAGCAATAAACTTCAAATGACAGAGTGCACATTCCTGTTATGAGCCCATTTGCCATCACCCCCCAACCCCAATCAGGGCCTTCTCACCATCTGCTTTAGCCCACACAGCAGCCATACTCCTGCCAATCTTCTCATCCATCTCCCAGTTCTACTCCTCATACCATCCATCATGTACTGCATTCTACCCTCCTCCAAATTCCACTTCAGGATGTTCTTGCTGTCTGTTGTGCAGAGTAATTCTATGCTTTTCACGCATCCCCACAATTCAAATCCAGGCCCATTTTGTTCATACCTAAATCCATCCTGGTGCTCAGGTAAGGGGACTTTTACGTTCCAAGATCTACTCTCTATTCTCCAGAGAAGTCAATTATGGTTACATAGTATTGCTTTTCTTCCTTCTTTATTTGTACTATGATTCATTTATTCAGTCATTTGATAATATTTACTGGATGTCTACTTTGTGTCAGGCATTGTTCTAGGTGCTCAAAATAAAACTGTGTGCAAGATGGCACAGGTCCTATCCTCACGGATTTACATTCTGGGAAGTATGTGCAAGATGATATAAAAAGTAGAGGAGGCTGGGTACAGTGGCTCATGTCTGAAATCTCAGCACTTTGGGGCTGAGATGGGAGGATCACTTGACTCAGGAGTTGAAGATCAGACTAGGAAAAATAGTGAGGCCCTGTCACTACAAGACTTTTTTTTTTTAATTAGCTGGATGAAGACTGAGGTGGGAGGATTGCTTGAGCCCAGGAGGTTGAAGTTGCAGTGAGCCATAATTGTGCCACTGGACACCAGCCTGGATGACAGAGAGAGACCCTGTCTTGATAAATAAATAAGTTCATACCTCATTCTGGGATGAGAGAGTATTGTGGATTATGGAAAGCTAAGTCTGATAGGACAACCAGGATTTATCTAGGTGGATAGGAGGGCAGCAGTTCAGATGGAAGGACTCAAAGGCAAAAGTTGGCAGCGAAGTTCTCAACCATTCATTTGGGTGGCTGGAAAGAAGCAGGAAACAGAAAAAGTGGTTTATTTGAGAAGGCATTCATCATTGCTCCCTCTGGCTCCTATACCTCAATGCTCAAGCAATAACTTTAAAGCAGAATTGAGGTCTGAGCTCTCTAGGGAGAAAGAAGACAGTCTCCCTCCCCATTTCAGCGTCTGGGTGGAGTTGATGGGTAAAATAGTCTTGTTTGAATTGGTTCATCTTTCCCAGAAACCCTGGAGCACAGCTACCCATGCTTATAAACCCCAAGGGAGTGGTTCCTCTATATAATCTTGCCTGAAGAAGGAAAGCCAGGGTATGGCAGATGGTTTGGTCAAGATCCTAAATTGCTGTGGGATTTGAGATTGGACCCCAGGGCTGCTGCTAGTTTATATGAAGCATTTTTTAAAAATTTAAATTATATGTATATATATAATTGTATGTATATATACACATATATATGTCCCAGAAGTGCACATGTGTGTGGGTGTGTGTATACATATATGTGTATACTTCTGGGAGATATATATGTGTGTGTGTGTATACACACACACACACACACCACACACACACACACACACACACTTCGGGGATATATATAACCCAAAGCTACTGTTTTACAGGGCTTGGTAAGTGAAAGGCCCCCTCCCTCAGTTCCCTGTATTGGGTATTACCTGAACAAATACCTAGTTTGTCCCAGATTTTGTAGATTTTACAAATGCAGGTTGAACAGATTGATGAAGTTCTTAAAGTATTTGAATCCACTGATGTACTTGAAGAGTAGGTTCTTCCTTACAAAGTCTGAATGATTAGTTAATAACATGGTAGTGTTTAAGGAGCTGTACCTCTCAATAAGCACATCTTCTTTCTCTGTATCCAACTACTGAAAATAACAGTCATAATATTTAGCCATTATTGAACATAATGGATATGTTCAGACATACACTAGTTTATGGAGATGAATCCTGTAATTCTTATAACAACCCTGTAACACAGGAGGGTA